AAAAATTTTAATAATGTTTTAAAAACACAAAAATTATAAGATTAATAAGAAACTGCAATCAGAAGTTATCATGTAAATTTCAGTGTAATATCTGAAACAATTTTTAAGTAGTTATGATAGGCCTGCCTGTTTAAGATTTAATCCCTCAGAAATTAAAATTATACCATATAAAATCTTATATTTAAAATTAGTTATTCGAAATGCCAAATCCAAACGAAGAAGACGAAATTTTCTCTGTTATTTTTCCTCGCATTAACGCCACAGAGCCTTATGCACTTATTTAATACGGAAACTAATTATTCAAGGGTTGATATATGTTTGTTTCATCGAACTGCTTGGAGGTACGATTTACCGTATTTTCCTCAAGAGGCGATGCTTTCTATTTTACAGGACGCGAAATCCAAAAGAAACAAAATTTTTTAAAAATTTAAATATTTTTATACCTCTAATGTTTTATCGAATTCTACGCCAACCTGTTTTTTTTTTTTTTTTTTTTTTCTGAATTGAAAGTCAACATGATTTAAAAACCCATCTGGTGAAAAGATACCGCATGGTTATTAAAAGGGAAAAAAACAAAGTTTATTAATTCTTAAGAAAAATAATATTAACAAGGGATTATTTCTGACAAGATGATATGGCGTAAAATTTTAAGAAAAAGAAAACGAAAGTTTTTCTTGAATTTATGTAATGTATCATCATTCCTTGACTTTGGTTACATACGTAATGAAGAATAATACATCTAAATTATTATTCATTCTTTCGTAACAACAGAGTAATTACAATGCATATGAAGAATAATATATCGTAATTATTCTTCATTCTGTTTAAAACGAAAGCTGTTTTAAGGTAAAATTAAATAAAACGGATATGTAAGTAAATAATATTACCGCCCTCTAAATCGAATTTTGAACTTAATGATAAAATCTTCAGGAACAATTTAAACTTCCTTTTTAACTCCATTGTTTTAGGTAGCTATTTAATATTTTATGTATTTTATGTAGTAGTTTCCATTGTTCAGATAAAACGATAGATTAAAATTTAGAATAAAATATATAATCTGCCGAAAAAGGAAAACGTAAAACTTTTTTTTTACCTTTCTGAATCAGAACGAACCTCTGAAATAATCTCCTGTAATTTGCTATTAGCTTGTAAAACGTTTCGATTACTAATTTAATATGCTTACTATATCACTTTAATTGATTTCGAGAGAGAGGCGCTATCGAAGGTTTACTTTATTACATATTGTTGCTTATCCTAACTGGTTAGCTATTAGGCCAGACCAGATCCATGAGTTCAAGGAACGTCAGTATTTTCAATACCAATAGGTCCTCTTTTACAAGTTCCAAACAGGTGAGAATATGTCCAGGACTCAATGATCAGTATTATATTTCCTACCGATGGGGTAGATCTTATTTCCCCGGTCAAATTTAAGGCAGTTCAGGTGTCTACTTAGGAGCCTCGTCAAAGTAATCTGCTGAGCTAGATTACCTCCAAAAGTAATAGCACCTCCCGGCTGCCTGCCTAAGTACCAATCATGAGCCAGAGGAGAATGGCAGGAAGAGGCAGCAGTAGATTTAACTCTCGAGCAGATCTCCTAAAAGTCTGGTTCCATGAACCAGACTGTATTACATTCAGAGCTGGGACAAGGTTGAGGCTAGTGAGACACTTGCCTCAAAAAGAGAGCCACGTTAGTTAGAAATTCATTTAAAAAATGAAATTGTGGTTGTTAATTTTCAAGTTTGCAATGTATTAAGAAACAAAGATTCAAAGCATAATATGTGAAACAATAAAAATTTGTTAAAATATTTTTTAGAAATTAAAGTATTACATTCTTGGCACATCCTTCATTTTCTCTGGTATGTAGCCAACTCTTTGATTTCCAATAACTATTCCTGTTAGCGATCTTCTCGGACAGGACAACGTGTCTCCTTTTACGTATTTCACGTCCAGCTATCAGCATAATAAGCAGCAACTTTATTCAAATATGAATCAAGGGATTTATTTCATTAATTTACCGCAATTAAGTTCCTTTTGTAAAGCATTTTTTATTGCATGATTTATATTAATTCCAGAGATTAGTAAAATATACTATAGTCCAGCTAAGTTTAGAGATGAATTAATGACTTCAATTTATTCTCAAAAGTTCTGTCGTATTACAGTAGTGTATGTACTATTTCCTAATATTAAAATTTATTATTGCATCTAAGGTATTGAAGTAAATTTACGTTTCTGATAAGAGCTTCATAGATTAATCTCGTCTACAAAACATCATATTGCCGATATCAGTGTACGTCTCTTTTTAATCTGAATCACAACTATTACCGCTAGCACTTCGTTATAACAGCTGTCGCATGAAATTTGTTTCAACAAACTTAATACACAGAAAATTAATGGAATGGCATCCGGAGCTTAAGCAAAACATTCATAAAAATGAAATGCATTAGGTTTTCAGTATTGTTAGAGATTGTTTGCATAATTTGAATACATGTCTTGTTGCACCCGCAGTATCTCACAGTTGGTTCTCATAGTTGATTCACAGTATTCCTGGAGTAACACAGTTGTTGGTAGACGATTTAGAAGAATCGACACAGCTACTTATTTTCTTAAGACCAGAATGTAAAATTGGAATGTAAGAAAAGACTTTATTGATTTGTTCAATTGTTTATAATAAAGCATCAGAGTGGGTTGTATATTACAAAGAAATAAACAAGGAAGCTTAAAATCTTGAATTTATTGGCGAAAATTAAGGCAAGCTTTTTGGCTTATTCTAAAGTAACTAGTATTCACATTTCCAAAACACAGATACTCCCCAATACCAGTGATACCGAAAAATAGTCCTCATACTGGTAATAACAGTCGTATATAAACATTGTTTTATTACATAACTATAATAAAATATAAAATTAAAAAAATAATAATAATAAAATCTGGAAGATTTCAGATTTTACATCACGCCGAAAGAGGTGTTTTTTTCATTTACACACACATACACGTTTCGAGAGCATTTGGACTAATGTCCCTTTGGGCCCAAAATATTTAAAAACATCATATCTTTAGAATTTCCGATAGATAGTATCGCGCGCTGGAGATAATGTTTTCTCCGTACAGCGTTACTATTGATCGCTTTGAAATCGTTGAGTTTGCTAATCAAAAATTCATTAAGTTTTACAAAATATGAAATAAATAATAAAAAAAAATTCCAAAATCCAAATTCGGGATTGCAGGTGCTCATATTCGGATGGAGGACTATTGTTATTCAAAATTTGATGGTTCTAGGTATAGCTGTTTTTTTACAGTACGAGAAACATAGAGATGCAACGCAAAATGCCATTTCGAGACTAACAGCCCTTCTGGGCTAACAACCTTTTAGGCTAAAAAGGTTTATATTGTTAACATAGAAATTCCAATTATTTTATATTTATCGAAGCAGAAAACATGAAAAACGTGCAATGCTCTCGCCGAAATTGGACTCCGGATTGCTACCCGGACGCTTCCAATTACAAGACGAGGGAACATAGTAAGGAGAGATAAAATACCTTAAAAACTAACTAGTAAAATGTTGGTAATAACTGGTAATAAATAAAGATTTGACCATGTTAATTTGATTTGACCATTATTAACAAATAAAGATTTGACCATTTGGGCAAGTGGAGAAGTCCACTGATTAGTGGTAGTTCTACTCTCGAGCTCCGAAAAGTGTGTGGGTTGCATAAAGGCTTTTCTTTCTTTCTTTTTTTTTCCCTGCTTTTTTTTCTTTTTTTTTTTCCTTTTTTTTTTTTTTTTTCCTAAATTTGTTTTTGCTCATTCGTAACATGAATATAAATCAACTTTACGCAAGAGTGAGAATTTACATCTTTGCCTCAGGTGAAAAATATCTACCTCTGATTACATTTGCCGGCAAAATTAAGATATTGTGAGAATATTAAAGCATAGCCTCTTGTCTTAATTTAAGCTATGTTTACTGACCTTGATAATAAGCTGATGAGAGTAAGTTCCTATCTTTATTCTGGGAAAACAATAGTTTATGAAGGAGAGTGAGTTTTAAATCAAACTAATCAAGTAAATCGCGCAAACATGCAGCTGTTCACTTCATAGAAGGCACGTAAAACCTTGCAAATACATATGTCTAAAAATAGAATTAATCTACTAGTGTCAACCTACAGCTTTATCACTGCATGGGAAAATTGGTTCGTTACCAGGGTAACAAATATGCAATATTGCGAATAAGGCTTCCTTCGCTATTGATGTTCTGTTTAAGGTAAAAGGATATGTTTAATGAGCATTTACATATTGGAATAATAGTAAAACTCATTTATTTTTCATTAGTTTTATTTTATGTAAGTTTTGCTGTTTCCCTTACTTTTCCAGCAAAGCTTCTCTCTCTCGATTTTTCATGTTACATTACACAGAAAAATACAACAATTTCACATATAATTGCACGAGTTGCCCCTGTATTCTTACTTTTCTGGCATACCTTCCTCTCTCTCTCGATTTTCATGTACATTACAAAAAAATACAACATTTCACATATAATGGCACGAGTTGCCCCTGTATTCTTACTTTTCTGGCTACCTCTTCTCTCTCTCTGATTTTTCATGTTACATTACACAGAAAAAACAACAATTTACATATAATAATTGCACGCAGTTGCCCGTATTCTTACTTTTGGCATACCTTCTCTTCTACTCGTCTTTTCATGTTTTCATTTACATACCACAGAAAATACAACATTCCACATATATTGACGAAATCGCCCCTTGTTGTTCTTATATTAAGGCATTCGTTTCTCTCTCTCTCGATTTTTCATGTTACATTACACAGAAAAATACAACAATTTCACATATAATTGCACGAAATCGCCCCTGTATTCTAACTTTTCCGGAATAGCTTCTCTCTCTCAATTTTTCATGTTTCATTACACAGTAAATACAACAGTTTCACATATAATTGCACGAAAGTTACGAAGTTATGTACAAAATTCATAACAATATGATACTCACATTTCAAACGAATATTCTCATTTCTGCTCACGGTGTTGCTTGAACGGTATTGCTCACGTTATGCTTTTACTTGTTTAGGAACCTGGTTAAATTACCAGAATTCTTTTCTACTAATAGACTTCTAAGTACTACTACTATTAACCATTAACTTCCATTACACCATTAAATTCTTTACGGATTTAGGTAAAGTACTTTCATCAAACAAAGAGCATCACCCTTATTTGATAACATAACCGGAAAAATGAAATTGAATTGTGTAAGTAACGATGTTTTCATACAAAATAAAACGTTTATTCCATTCAGGAACTCTCATGAATGGATGAAATGTGCTTTATCAACCTGTCGTAAAACTCCATTTCACAAACGAGGCGTAAAAGTTTTATAAATCTAGAATGACGAAGGCATGGGGAGGGTACTGCTTATCTTTACGAGCAGAGGCGAGAGCTTTCTCTCTCTCTTTTGAGGTCGACCCGTGCGCTGACATAGCATTTTCTCAGCCTACTTCTTTCTATTCCTTGAACTGTTGCTACATCTGAAAGTCTACCATTTAAAGTTATACATCGTTAAAAACGTTTATCTTTATGTCTGTGTTAGCATTATTTGCTGAATACTATATAGTATTGATATGACCAAAATTATTTACGTACCATAAGAAATTAATGTAAGCAAGGGATGGTAACGTTGAGTTATTGTTTTTCAAAAGTACATTGATTACGGAAGATGCGTTTGAAACATATTTCGCAAAATGAGAAACTATAGAAGATGTGAATGCTAAGATATAAAATATGATAGCTTTTTATGTTTGATAGATTATGGTAAAGCATGGAAGGGACCTGAAAACTAGGGTAAAGCAGACCTGAAAACTAGTCATTTAGAATTAGGTAGCTCATAAGTAACTGTGATTGATAGAATACTTTTATACAGAGGCTTACAAAAAGGCACATAAAACTGTATGCATATTGTAAATCGTACATACTATCAAAGAAACGGTGTAATTTTCATTCGTATATTTCACGTATGGTATGGTTTATTAGTCCTAGCACTATAAAATACTAATTAACATATACCTGCAAGAATTTAGAATTTATAGAATTGAATTTAGAAATGAATTGTGACTACTTAATAGTTTCAATGGCCAAAGAACTGAAACGCTCTTAGCCTCGGCGTTGTGTCGAAAAAAGGTGGTAAATAACCATTTTAGGATAGTTTTTAAGTGCAACGTTGCTTTAAAAATCACAGAACCTTTAAGAGCTACCTCTTCAGATTTGGGTTGTTCTCCACTGAGAAGTTTAAATATAGTAGTGATGCCAAAAACAATGATCATTTATTGTTGAACTGTTACTCGTTTGAACCGCAATGAAATTTTAAAATCAAAATGAATCACTGAGATTTAGCTGGCCACAAAAATTTTATGATCTTATTAACAATTAAGATGCGTTCTTAGTCTGAAAAATTATTAGTGAAATCTAAAATTTCGTTTATGTATCATATTAATACTATGCATGCATACATGTAATAAGATTATTTTTGATGACTTTGCGGATGTTATAAGATAAAAGCCGATTTGTGAAGAAACAGATGCAGTTGCTCCTGATTTAACACCTTTTTACTTTTGATAAAACAATGCTTGGTACAGATGTACTCAGCCAAGCTGGCGTAAGATATGTTGCTCGTTGCTAAACATCAATTACATCGCTACTTTCCACACTTCTGCAATATATTTGACGAAAGAAAGAGCAGTGGCGGACAGCAAGAGAGAAACCGGAGAAGAAACAGGCAGACTATTACTTCAAGTGATAGGTTAAGAATGACGCAGTTTTAGTTTGACTTTATCCCTCTTAGTTAAATTAAGGTTTTAGTTCGTAAATTTTTATATTATTATTAACTGAAGCGCTATGCAGGTACACAGAGGAAAAAAGAAAAAAATGGGACAGTTCTATATCTTCCGTTCTATTGGGCCGATTGACGAAATTATCTTCCGTTTTTCATGCCTCGAAAGCTCCACTTAGCATATGTATTAGATTTATATATAGCGTTGTTCAATATGTTTTGACACAAATCCGAATTTCTGAATGACATACCAATTTTTTCCAATTTTACGCGCAAATTAGCAACTGCCAAGTTCCGTAAAATTAGCACGAGTAGTTTTAAAACATGAGCTCTCAAATTTTAACTCCGCAATTTATTGATTTGTATGTATTATTAATATCTCTTTTTTTTGAATTATTGTTCCTTCTCACAGTCGAAATTAGGTTATCCAAATAATTTCGCACATTTTTTTGATTTATTTTAATTGTATTAAATATTTATAACCTTTCGAAAAAAATTGGTTTTAATTAAAAGTTTTAAAATCTCAAAACGCGATGTATTCTAATCACCCTACAAAAAAGAGCTTTATTTAAAATTTCGAAGATATATAGGAATTGAAATTTGGCATCATTTTTTTGAGCGATAATAACGCCAAATGTGGTTTACGCACTTTGTTAAAATTATCTGAAAGTGTGAATAATGACTTTTTCTCGCTCGTCTACAATGAACAAAAAAGGAAAATAGGTTGCTATAAATTAAGAAGTTCGCCAGGTAAAGTATTCTTGGCGAAAACTGAAAAATGTACGCCAAAATAACTTTTTGGATTTCTCCGTAAACTTTGCACCAAATTTTACAAAATTTAGTATTTAGGCATAATGTGAGTCGTAGAATTGAAATATGGAAAAAAATTGGCATGTCATTTCAAAAAAAGTCCATTTTGTGCAAATATTATATAGAAAAATCTATGTATAATCTAATATATATCCTAAGTCGCGCTTTCGAGATATGAAAAACGAAATTTGAATTTCGTCAATCGGCCCAGTAGAACGTGAGATATAGAACCGTCTCCCCCCCCCGCAGTGTATATGCGTCAATAGCGTCATCATGTCGGGAGGATTAATTTTGAAATGACACAATTTAGGCAGATTTATTATATAAGCAGTATATTTGCAGGCTAGAAAGCGGGAATAATCAAATTAAAAAGAAGAGTTAAGGATATATTTGCAAATAAAATTAATATTTTATGCTACCGATTTTTTATGACTAGCTGAGAGAGCATTTTAATTGAAACTTTTATTTCAGTTACATGGAACTATGAATAGATAAATTTCGAGCAGAAATAAAACTTGGATTTTGTATTACATTTCACAACAATATTATTGAGAACTTAGCAGCAGGACTCCCGAAAAAATATCATTCTGTTGCTATTTTTAGAATACCAAGTCAGAAAGGAAAACTAAGCGGCTATTGAAAATTAAAGTTATTATTTTCTCTTATCTACTTTTTTACCTTAAATATATATATACATAAAAATATACATATATATTTTAAATATATATATATATATACATATATAATTTTAAAATGTTGCGGATCTGTGTATAAGAGAGATGCGTACTCCTTTTTTAGAAACTAGTTAGTACCTATAAATTTCTTTTATTTACCTAATTCTGGGTATTTGAAGTTTATTGATACTATGTATATCTCTATTATTATTCCTATTAAATTCTTACATATATGTGCGTAATAATGTTTTTTGGTAAAGGTTTCGTATTTGTGTATAATACGAAACCTTACGTTCTCCCTTTTCGAGAAATGTTTTAGCTTTACTTCAATTTTCTTTTATGTTTTCAAACATTATGTTTTTTGTGAACTTGTAGTATTTATGTGTAGTTTGTATTTACATGTTTTTATGTATCTGAGATTTATTTCCCTTTGCAAGTCTTGTGTTATACACCGTCGAGCGCAAGAAATAAACCAATTCCCTATAATCAAAATAATAATAATAATGATAAAGTATAAAACTTCAGATAAGCGAGAAGATCCTCCGAAATCAACAAAATAGATCAGCTACGTAGCAGATCGTTTTTGAAACTATGTTTAAACGAGTCTACTATCATACAATTCCTTAAATATTATATGAAATTTTAAGATTACTGAATTTACTGAAGGAAACAGCGATAGACTATGAAATGCTGCTATAAAAAAGAGTCGAATTTTATGTCTTGTCATTATATACCGATACGGTTTGCTTATGGAAGATATTAAAGGTGGAATTGAACACATTGCCATATCTATATCTGGAAGAACATCAAATATCAGGCTGCAGGATGTGAGCTACTCCTTCTACAAGAATAATTCATAGTAGATGGTGACATTTAAGCGAAAGAAACAGTTTATATAGGCTAGGGCTACTTGCTCTTGAAAGAAGATAAACTATCGGAGATTGGTTTGGTTCTAGAAATAATTTTCCCAATCCAGTCTACCTAACGAAGAGCCATTTGGTCAAATAAAAAAGTCTCCCAAAAGCTGTATGAAACAAGAAGTTCCAGGCATTGTGCAAGTGTGCAAGTATTTTGGATCTTTTGGGCGATGGTCATATTTTAGCTTATAATGGGATAAGCAATTAAAAAGCTATTTTCCGCAGCATAATTTTATATTCTATTGACTGCTTTGGTTCTTAGGAATAACGATCTTCTTGCAAGTTGCCAACGAACAGCATATTAATTCTCTTCTACTCGGCTTTGCCTATAACATTTCTAATCCTTATATAGGTTCCAAATTCACCTGATCTCATTTCATTCGAAATCCCGTGGCATGTTCACCAGAAAAAAAGACACATAAGCTTGAACGATGAGCAAGAGAACTGAAGACTAATCTTCATTAAACATGGACTAACATTGCACAAGGACTTAGTTTTGTTTATATCAGACCTTTTCGAAAGAGAGTTGCTTAGACATTAGATCGATGCTATGAAAGAAGGCTCACAACGTAAACTATTGGCCTGTACGCGAGAACTGGATGAGCATAAACTTGTTGCCTGTGACTTTTATCAGGAATACTGTTTCCAAATGCTTATTTCCAAGTATATACTGAGCTCTTGTTGCAATCCTTTTGTGCCTATTTTTGCAGCAATTTTTGTGTTCAATTACACGTTTTAATCTTAGAGCGCTTTTTTGTGTTTCACAGCAAATATGCTGGGTGTCTGCATATTATTGGAGGTAATAAAGCTTAATTTAGAAAAAACACGATGAATAATAACAAGAAAAATCATCAGTGTTTGTTTAAGATTATAATCTATACTGTATCTGTAGTGGAACTACGAAATGAATTATTTACATATGAGAAAATGTATGGAATAAAATAAACTTGTGAAATGAAAATAAATTCGTGACAGAGCATTAAAGTTGCCTTTAACAATGCTTAATGGAAAGCCTCTGATTTGACATGACTGCCCTCATACGAATAAGAACGTGAAAGCCATTAAGGTTGCTGGTCAAACTATGACTTCAAATGC